GTGTTTTCCGATGGTCTTAGGCGACCCCTGTGAAAGGGTCGTTCGGCCCCCAAAGGGGTCGCGACCCACAGGTTGAGAACCGCTGGGTCAGAGGCTGAGCGTCCATGTCGGTCGGGGCTCCTCAGAGCAGCGCGGTGCTGCCGGGACATCAGCCCCAACACGCGGGGCGACCGAGGCACAGGAAGCAGCCCGGCCGCCCGCCCCCGGCCCCGCTGCAGGCCCCTTAGGGCCTCCCGCTCCCCGGGCCTCCGCCGGCCGCCGCCCCCGCCCCCGCCATGCCCGGCCTGCCCAGGCCCTCTCACCCCCACCTCCCCGCCCCCCGGGCCCTCATGCCCCGCGCCCCGCGGGCCCCACGCACCGCGCCTCCCGGACCCGGCCGATCCCCCGCCGCCCCGCTCACTGCGCCTCTCGGACCCTGCCGACCCCCTGGCTCCCCCGCTCGGCGCCCTCCAGACACCGGAAGTACAGGCGCCGCAGCGGCTCTAGGAACGCGGCGGAGCGACTCTATGGTCGCGGCCTCTCTCCCAGTGGCTCCCTCCTCCCGCTGCTCCCGCTGCTCCCGCTGCTCCCGCTGCTCCCGCTGCTCCCGCTGCTCCCGCTCCTCCCGCTCCTCCTTGTGGCCGAGGAGGAGCCCTGTGCCTTCCGTCAGGGCTGATGGGCCGCCACCCAGACCCCGGCTCCAGACTTTTATCTGCACATCTGCGGGAACTGTTTGCTCTATGTACATTAAAATGAGATAAAATTTATTTAAAAACCTGTTATTAGTAAGACAGTCATTAATTAAGACTAACTCCTCCCATGTCCCACATAAAGGTGAATTGCCTCTTTAGTTACCTGAAAACAGTTTGGCCAACCACAGAAGGCCCAGACGTGTAGATCAGAGAAGTAGAGAGTTAGAGGGGAGGCTAGGGGACTGTCAAGGGCGGGGGGAAAAAAGGACACATATGTAATACCCTTTGTAATACTTTAAGCAATAAAAAAATAATAATAAAAAATAAAATAAAATTATGGCACGGTGACTGCCAGAAAAAAAAAAAGAAAATTTAACAGAGCCAGAGACTTATCAGAAAATCATAAAGCATCCTATCTAATAAAAGAGAAACATGGTAATTAAAAAAAAAAAAAGAAAAATGAATTTTGAAAAGGAGCGAGATGAAAGTCATGCAACAAAGGTGCGTAGGTAGCCAAGAATGGACAGAGTAGGAGGTAAGGATGGACAAAGGCAAGAAACAGAAAAGGATATGGGGTGGGGAGGAGGAGGAAGATGAAAAGAAAAAGGAGAAAGAGAGGGAGAGGAAACAAGCAGGGTTTATGCCTTCTTATTAGTATAATTAGAGTCAATCCTTACTGAACGCTTATCATGTGCCAGGCACTGTTCGAAGCATCTCAGTCCATATTCCTGTGACAGGATTGTTTCCAAGCGTTTACACTGCCCTTTTCGTATTTGACATCCCTGCCTATTGCTGTGCGACTTTCACTGCCTCCCAGGGAGCGACAGCCCATCCCACGAACGCTGACTTTAGGTGTGACTAGCATTGGCCAACTGCGCGTGAGTGAGCGGACATGAGTATACCATGTCCCAGAGAAGCGTTAAAGCATCGTTTCCGCCTCCACTCTTCTTGCCTCTGCCTTGGGAGTACTGGGTGCCAAGTGGGGGCTGCTCCTCCAGTAGGACCTGAGAGAAGGCATGTGGAGCGGAGATACATATGCCCACCTGCAGCCACCTACAGTCCCATGTAACATGACAAATAAATGCTCTGTGTGTCATTGAGATTTTTGGTGTTATTTGTTACTGTAACAAAGTTGACTAAAAAACCTCCCATAACTTTAAGAGATAGGAACTGTTATTATCCTTATTTTACAAATGAGAAAATGGGCATAAGTAACTGGCTTTGCTTTTTATTTTTTTGTAAAAAAAAATTATCTTTATTGTTGAAAGTATTAGAGATGTCCTCCTTTTTCCCCCATTGACACACTCCACCCAACAGCAGCCACCCCCCTACCCCCGGCCTTCACCATACTACTAGAAGTGTCCATGGGTTATGCATATCTATCTATCTATCTATCTATCTATCTATCTATCTATCTATCTATCTAAAGCCAGTGTCCCTGACAACCAAAACGACCAGAGACAAGAACACCATGGCCTCTTGCCCAGGCTGGCCCCACCCCCCAGGGAGCAGTTAGGGGTGCCCCTAGGCAATGTGATAGGGTGCGAGTTCGATGGGGGAAGGTCTTAAGGGTCTGCGGGGTTGAAGTGGTCGGCCCAGAATAGGTCTGGAGTGTGCTCAATTTCATCAGTTGTTATCATCCTAGCCAGGTTTTCTGCCTTTTTCTGATTCAGTTTTGGAAGATTGTATTTTTCTAGAAACTGGCCCATATCATCCACATTGTCCAGCTGTTTTTACACTGGGAACGGGTTGGCTCTGATCGCATCTCCTGGCTGATCGTGGCTGTGGGACTGAGGTGGGGCTGCTGCCCACCAGGACACCTGCTCAGGACAACCTGCTCCTGTTCTGCAGCTGCAGGGCACCTGTCCCGCCCCCACGGGCACAGTGGGCATTGCCAGGTCCTCCACCTGGCCTGGCCTGTGCTTTGTGTCCCAGGGACCAAGGGACCAGATGTTCCTGGGTGAAAGGCCCCATTTTATTTTGACAGTGGGAAGGTCTTGAATCCATTTTCTGGTAAACATCCCAAGCAGGTAGAGTATGGTTGTCACCAGGGGAAAAACAAGGTGTTTTTCGATGCCTTTCTATTTGTTCTGGCCAAACCACCGTTCTTCCTGAGTCCACTTGCTATTTTGCAATCATGTTGATTCATCCTGTTTGTTATTTTCTCTGGTTCCTGAGCCCAGGCCCGGGAAGACAGTCCTGCTGTAGGAGAGGGCATGCTCTCACCGGAATCTTCAGTCAATCTTTGGAGACACTTACTGCCCGAGACACTGGTTAGTGAGGGGCATCTGAGAAATACGTAAGGCCTGTGGAGAGAGGGCCATGGAGGAAACCACAGAGCCCACTGGGGAGGGTCTGAAACGGAGGTGTCACAGGGAGCTAATGAGCAGGTTTTCAAACGGCCTCTGAAGAGGAGATGTAGTGCCGATAAAAGGCTCGCGAAGCCCTCAGATGATCATGGAAGTGCCCCTTTCCCCTTTCCTGTGCTGGTGGCGTTTGTGAGCCATGATATGCAGAAGTTAGTTTTGATAATGTCTACTTTAAAAGTGACACTTATCTAGACCAGCATTAAATTAAATAATATTGTAAGAACTGCAAAAAACACCCTCAATCTCTTGTCGGTGGAATGGGGTTCTTTCACAGACTCGCAAGGGAAGCATTCTGGAAACCCAGTACGGGGGGTTGTGACGTGCAAGATGTAGTGTGGCGCCAGATGCGAAATCACAGGACTGCCCCTGGGATCCCAATGTCTCACCTCCGTCTGTCCTGCCATAAAAAAATCCAACCTTGCTCTTCAGGCCCAGAAACAGGGCCAATGTCCAGAGATTTTGTGCCATCCTGCTACTGTAGTGAGCGGCGGCTAGGGCCGCATGGTTACTATGGAGAGAGAACGCAGGACCCAACAGGCCAGCTCTGTTACCCAGCAAGAGAGAGAGCTTTGTTAAGCTTGGATTATACTGTCTCGGCCTTGGGGAAGGACCATGCATCCTTTCAAACTAACCAGTCAACTTCCCAAACTTTGCTGGGCTTGTATGGGATCCTCCCCCTAACCAATCCATTTCCTAGGATTGTGTCCTGGGATTGTGTCCCTTATCCAATCCGATCCTTATCCCAGGCTAGACTGACAGGCCTCTAAGTGTCATCTCGGGTCCTACTGCGCATGCCTCACAGTAGGAGCCCCTCTCCTGCGTCATCCACCCTCACCTCGGCTTCTGCTGCGCGTGTGCCCAGCAGGGGAATTTCTCCTGCTGCTTTTACGCCTCCCTTGGTGATGACCAGTAACAACCGTTCTGCTTCCTTTGGGAATTAGAGGTCCCCGGGGGAGTGTGAAGCTGTGGCTGCCTAGTGGAGAAAGCAGGCTCAGTGTCCGATTCAGCTTCCCAGCATATTATGCTTAATAAGTCTGCTTCCCTGTGCTCCCTTCCTTCATTAATATCTAGCTTTGGCCCTGGCCGGCTGGCTCAGTTGGTTAGAGCATTTGCCCGTACTCCAAAAAGGTTATGGGTTCGATTCCTGGTTGGAGCACTTACGGGGTGACCGATCGATGCTTCTCTCTCACATCCATGTTTCTCTCTGTCTCCCTTCCTCTCTTTAAAAATCAATAAAGCATATCCTCTGGTAAGGATTAAAAATATATCTATATATGTAGGTGCCTACGCTAATAAACCCACAAACAGGTGAGTGCTTATAGAGGGCTCCTGACCCTATGGCTCCCCGTGTGCCAGGCCTGGCAGGTGTCTCTCGGGCTGGCAGGTGTCTCTCGGGCTGGCATGCCACACACAGTCGTAACCACCCAGGCCCAGCCGTGGGCCTCCTCCCAGGGCCCTTCACTGGCTCTCTGCTCTCAGGGTGCCTCCCGATGAGGGAGCCCCGAGCTGCGGTGGACTGGGGCTCTGTCCTTGTCCCTCCAGGGCGGAGCAGAGGCTGGCACAGGAAGTCACTCAGTTACTGCTGAGCACTGGCTGGCAGCTGTGCAACACCTGAAGTTGTAAATAGAGGCTGGGAAGTAAAATGACCTGTTGGATTTCTTTCCTACCCTCGCCTTGGCCTTGCCGCCACCCACCTGAGCCCGTGCCTGGAAGATTCCTGATACTGAGAATCTGTGATTCGGGATGACCCTACGTTCCCCGGCCAGGCCACCCACAGACCCCCACAGGGATGACCCCTCCTCCATGTCCGGCAGCCACCTCTGTCCTCAGGCCCCACACCCATCCCCAGGATATGCACAAAAATGAGTGAGTTATGTCTGTGCACGGGCAGCGATGGGGCTCAGCTCTGGCTCATCTGCCAAATTGAGCCACACACTCTCCAGGGTAAGAGTCTCAGAAATACAGCAGGGGGTCAGGTGACACACATAAGCGAAAGGAGGGCGTGGTCCTGCCTCCTCCAGCTCAGTGGAGCTGCCTCCTCCAGCTCAGTGGAGCACACCTTTATTGAGCACCTAGGAAACCGCGCTGCCAAGGGGCGCAGACAGCCAACCGCGCAGCCTGGCTGCTCCCCAGCTCTGCTCCTGTGGGCGCTCCGAGGAGCCGCTGCTGAGGCGGAGGGGGAATCTCGCCGCCTGCATTTGGAGGCCTCGCTGGTTCTCCCCTTTAAGTCTGCCCCCCACCGGCAGTGGGAAAAGAATTTGGTCTTTAGCTTGCTGACACACACCACGACTGACATAAATTGTTGCATAGTTTTGCAGAAGACTTCTTATTCCTTCCAGAAATTCTCCATCAGCTGACCAACCCACATGGTTCAGTGTCTGGCCCCAATGAATTCAAAGCCCTTTCTCCTCATCACACGCCTTTGAGGGAAGTACTTTGCATGGAGGCTGCAGCCCAGAGAGGGACAGTGTGGCGGGGCCTGGGCACTGCCTTCTCGAGCTGCTGACCACAGCCCCTGGACCCCGGACTCTCCCACAAGGTGTCGTACATCCAATGCCATGTGGGCCACCTCCTCAGTGAGTTCCTTATAAGAATTCCTTCAGGTCTTGCGGAGGAAGTTTAGAGTTAGTGCTGCAGAGAGAAGAGGTGCTTGCGGTCTTATTCCTGTCCGGCCTCTGCCTCCGGCGCACTGGGCTGTGTGAGGCTCACGGAGCGACATCAGATGTTTGGAGGCCAGGAGCCCGGGACGCCACGGTGAAGTGGTGCTGGGAGTAGGCACATTCCATCCCTGCAGGCAGCCCTGCCTTCCCGGCAGAGCTCCTGAGCGCAGCACAAGGTGGCTCACGTGGACGCAGAGGACGGGGCTGGGCCCTGCGGGGCTGAGCCAGCTCCCGGGGCGCGGGTAGGCACTGCTCTCCTAAGCAGGAGGTGTGGCGTGAACAGGACTAGCCAGGCCAGCCAGTGGCAGGTGGCAGCGCCAGGGCTGTTCAGCGCCCAGAGCAGCCTTTCACGCAGCTCCCACTGAACCAGCAGGAAACCCCACCACCAAGTTTCTGCTACTCAGGCCAGCGTCTGGGTCCTGCGAGTGCTCACCTTGGAGATAAGAACCAGGGATGTGGGATTCGTGGTACTTAGGCAGGTAGACAGGTGCTGATTCCTCAGGCGGGGACGCCAGTCAGGGCCCGCTCGCAGGCACTGGGTGTGCATTGGCTGCTGGTGGCTTCGGGAGAGGTGGGCTCTGGCTGGCTACTTGGCCTCTACCAGCTGCTCCAGGCGCTGCAGCATCGTCAGACGCAGGGCTTGGAACCTAGAGGGAGACACAGCCAAACAGACTCACTGACCTGCCAGGGACGGGGCGGGGGAGGGGAGCAGAGCGGGGGAGCTGCAGATGCCTGGGCCAGGAGGGTTCCTGACTGGCTGATTAGTGCCACCGCCTGCCTTCTGCCAGGAGGGAAGAGCCAGGCGTACACCCTGTGGGACCACGGGCTGCCAGAGGCAGGCAAACAGGGCTGCACACACTGCCAGCCTCACAGCTACATGCTGCCATTTCCATTCCAAAGACTGTCCAGTATGGACAGGCGCGTGCTGGAGTGGACAGAGCACAGAGCCAGGATCGGAGCCCTGGGTTCAAGCCGGGGCTCTGTAGTCACCTGTGCTGCAAGCTTTCTCACCTTGGGCCTGCTTCCTCTCTGCACCCTGAAAAGCCTGACCGGGTGGCCCCAGGGCCTTTTCAGGTCCTAAATCCTTCAGTGACCCTGCTGACTGCCCACATGGGGCTCAGCTGCACAGATGGAAGTGTGGGGGAGAGAGGCGGGGGCGGGGGTGGCTTCCACGGATCATTCAGCCAGAATCTTAGCCAGTCCTCAACTTCAGGCCCTAGCAGTGAGCAGTCCCCGCCCAACCCCCCCCTTTCTAAGAGGGACTGTTTCCGGCCCTGGCATGGCACCTCGCACATGTCCTCTCCATGCTTGGCTCTGCAGAGGGACATGTAACCTGGCTAACCTCACACAGCTGGGCCCTGTGTAGCTTCCCCAGGAGCTGCCAGGTGACACCTGCTCACCTTTCCACTAAACTGGTCCCCTGCACCTGAGTTATAACAACCGCCCCTTTCGCAGGCTCAGACTCCCACTGGCATGAAAGCCCCGAGCAGGCTGACCGTGAGTAGAGCTGGATCAGCGGCAGAACTCCCAGCCCTGCTCCAGGGTCCACCCATGCTCCTGCCTGATTCTGCTGCCTGGTTTTCAGCAGCTTGTGTCCCTCCCATCTGGTAAGGTGCTGGATGGGGGTGTGGGCTGCCTCCTGCTATTTTGTCAAGTTGCCACCCAACTTGGTATCAATGCCAAGCAGGGGGCCAGAGGGCCTGGCTGGAAAGCCAGGGTTGGCAGGCTTCCCTGAGCCGTGCGAGGGCACTTGGCACATCTGGAGGAGAGAGCTCTCCCAGCCCTGGTCCTGCTGCTCTACCCTGCAGGCTGGCCTGATGGACAGGGCCCAGGACTGGCCCTTTAAGCACTGGCCCTGGATGCTCTACCCTGCAGGCTTGCCTGATGATTAGGACCCATGACTGGCCCTTTACGTGCTGCTTACTTCATGGTCAGTTTGATTATTTCTCTTTGCTCCTCTTCTTTTAATTTTTCAATAAAACTGTCCAGCACCGGCATTTCAAACTTAATGTACTGAGCAACCTAGAAAATCCAAGAACATTTTATTGTGCTTTAAATTAGAAGCCAGAAACGTTTTCTTTCCCTCAGGGTTTCCATAGGTCCAATTCAGCAACGTCTACGCCCATGGAGGTGGCTGCCCTCCTCCCACCCCCAGCACTGCTCTGTGTGCTCCAGGGCGGGCGGGGGGCCCTTTCCTCAAAGGCAGCTACTCTCCCTGGGAGGAAAGACTAAGCCAAGTATTGGGAAAAGCATTAGACAGTGACCAGAGGCGCACGGGGTGCTGTCTGGGGTGCAGGTGGGGACACACTGTTTCATACAGTGGCATGAAACTGTACTGGCCTGTGGACTTAGATCCTGTGGACTTAGCTGCCTGTCCACAGGCCCAGCCAGGCCCTCGCTCAGAAACCCTGTGTGGACCTTTAGTGCAGTGACAACGGAACACTGCAGTGAAGGAAAAGGTTCCACCTGCCGGGGAAAGCACAGGCAGTGGCTTTCTGGAACCAACGTCTCCCTCTGAGGCAGCCCATGGCACTGGTGGTGGCACAGAGGGGTGGGGGTGGGCCTGGAGCCATCATCGCCCTCGCGTGGGGCCCTTCGGGACAGCCACGCGGTCCCTGGAGACCACGTGCAAGAGGGCTGAGGCCAAGGACACCTTTGGAGCCCTGAGAGCCCCCACGCTGTCTGCCAGCCCCCCCTCAGGAGCAGGCCTCCCAAGCCGCGGCCCCACTCACGTCATGGGGCACCTCCTCGCCCAGGTCGGCTTCCATCAGGAATATCCTGGCAATTTTCTCACTGGGCCCGTGCAGGACTCTGGAAATCAGCGGGTACTCACAGTCTTTTAATTTTGTCCGCTCTGAAAAGAAAGGTGGTTTACAAAATTCAGGGGGCATGAGGAGCGCCTTATTCCCGGATGGATGACAGCCGTCAGGGGCCGCAGGGCCCTCCTCCAGGCCTGGCTGAGATGATGGCCCTGAGTGTGTGTGACCATGTCATTCACAAAGGCCCACTTGGGCAGGGACCGTCCAGGGAGGGGAGCGGGGAGGAAAACAGACCCGGGAGGCTGGGCCCACAGTCGCCTTCCGGTGCTGGGCAGGGGCTGCTGAGAGGACGCAGGCTCGGCCACTGCACTGCTCAGGGCTGAGGGCTTCCCTCCAGCTCACAGACGCCGGTAACCCTCCCCAGCCCTCCCAGTAAGTGAGCCAGGATGGAAGCTTCCCACGGGGGGAAGTGGGGGTTCTCAAAGGGACACGTGTGCCCTGGTCGGGCTGGGAGAGGCTTCGGGGTGCAGGCACAGTGGGTCCCAAGGCTAGGAGGGCAGGTTGTCCTGTGCCTGCCACACAAGCCAGCACAGCCCCCGGAGAAGGAACGAGGTGGGAACCTGCCTTTTGTTTTTATGATCTGGGCAAAGGCCGGCACTCACCGCCCGACTCGTGAACAACGTAGAGTGCGAACTCACTGGGGCCGTTCTCCACCTGCAGCGGCAGAGACTGAAGTCAGACCCGGCTTCCAAGACCAGGGACAGAGGGACTCCTGGCAGCAACCACACCCCCGGGACCACACACATAGATCCCACACACCCGCCCCACCCGCCCCACCCATCTCTGCTTCCAACCCCAGAGCCCAGCTCAGCAGAGAAAAACCTTGCTAGACCTTCTACCAGGGCCACAGACAACTCCCCCCCACCCCCCACCCCCGTCGCCAACCCCTGGAAGACCACCCGCTCGGGGACCAGGCGCTCGCGCCAGACTTACCCGGAACTTGCTGAGCAGCAGGCTGAGCACCTGCAGGGTGGTCATGGTGCTGTTGACCCTCACGTTGGTCACGGACCCATACGCAGGCGTAAACACGGAGGTCTGCACAGGGAGGGGGAGGTCAAGGCAGGGCCGGGACCGGGCTGGCACGCTCAGGGCCTGGGCGCACTGTCAGCCACGTGCTGAGGAGCGCGGAGCAGCAGGCGGACGGGGCTCTGGGAACACCGGCGCCTGCTCTCACACACAGACCCACGTACCAGCCGTGCCCATGCCTGGGCACATGCAGGGAGGCTGGGACAGCTCACGTCTGACTGAGAAAGACGCCTGCAGAGCTACCAGGGCAGCCTCTGCTCCTCGGAACCAGTGGGCTGAGGTAACTCACAAGGGACGGGGGACCGGCCTCTCCCTCCTCGTTCTATCCATCAGTGCACCAGGTGTTTGCTGATTCTAAGGCAGAGAGTCCTCGAGTCCACTCCGCTCCACTCTCCCAGTGGTGCCCCAGCTTCCCACTTTCCCCTTCCAGGCTCGGCCCTTTCGATTATTCCACATACCGGTGCCCGGCATAACCTTTCAAAAACGCTGCGCCACAAAGTGCTCTGAGCTAGCCCCATGCTTCACCCCCTTGGCACCAGGGCCTCCCGTGACCCCTCTCCTGGGCGCCCCACTCCCCAGATTCAGATGCGCACGTCCTGTCTGGCCCTCGCTCAGCTTTCCTCGGGAGGTGACTGGGACTTGCGGTGTGTCCCCAGCTGGTCCCAGTACCAGAGCCAGGCTCAGCCTGGACTTGCCTTCTCCACAGAGAAGATGTGGAATGACTCTGGGCTACAGAAGCAGCCTAGGCCTTCGGTCCCCAGGAAGGATGGGATACAGAGAGGAGCCCGGCCACTGCGAGGGGAAGAGACGTAAAGAACACCTGAGTCCTTAGAAGGCTTCTCTGCATGCAGTGCCTTGGCCCCTTCTCAATCTCTCCTTCAGCTCAGTCCGGGCTGCACCCTAGCGGGAGGGCGGGGGCGCTGGGAGGTCCCGACAGCCGAGCAGGGTCCTGCTGGCTTGCCTTGCTGACGTCCTCACCCTGAAGGCCAGGCCACCCCCGGCGTGGCCTGAATGGCTCGGGGCAGGCCTTGCCCGAGCTGCCGCTCTGCCGCTCTGACCCCGGGACCTCTCTCCCCTCCCACTGGTTCCTGGGCTGCTGCTCGAACTGGAAGCCCCTGCTCCATTCCCAGGATGTGCCTGTCACAGGAGACTCCACCCAGGCCTCACCCAAGCTGCCACTCGTGCCCTTTGCAGTAACGACCAGCTTCTCCTCTGGCCGTTCAGTGTGTTTGATGATGTCACCCCCTGAGCTTGCTACAATACACGCTGGGACAAAGGCTGCGTGCTGGGAACCAGGGGCAGCGCGCGTTCTCTGATGCAGCCGCATGTGCCCGGCACACCTCGGCCTCGCCAGCTCACTCGCCCTGCAAAGTGCCAGCAGGGTGCATGGTCCCCAGGACACTGAGCCCAGATGAACCTCAGGGAACACTGCCCAACGAAGACCTGCATAGACCAAAGACAGACTCAGCGTGTGAGAGTGGATGGACAGTGAGTCTGTGGTGAAAAAAGTACAGGCTTTGGGGTCAGGAACTGGGACGTTATTTTGATGGGACGCTGGGCTTGCCCTGACCCTGCTTCTCCACGTGCACGGCCACCTGCACACAGGGAGGTGGAGAGGGTACTGATGTGGCCATCCTGCCTGACGTGTGGCGGGCCCAGGGGTTTTGCCTGTGCTTGGGGCTGGTTGTGGTCAGTGTCAGGGCCCTGGGCAGAGGCGAGGCCGGGACGTCACCTTGTGGTTGTAAAAGTGCCCGTTGATGGAGAAGCGGTGTCGCCGGGTCCTCTGGGTCTCGCCGGGGGTGCGGCACCTGGGCCTCCTCTGGATCACACAGGCCGCGTCGCTCTTGGTGCGCATCAGCTGTGGGGTCTCCTCGTCCTCCTCCAGGGGCCCTGCAACGGGAAGGGATGCGGGGTCAGGCCCCGGCGGAGCACCAGTGACATGCTGTGACGCTGTCCCTGTGTGGAGGCGGGTCCCGGCAGGAAAGGTGACCCCCAGGTAGGACCACCTGTGTGACCACATCACCGCGCCGCAGCTGTGGGCCTCGCCTCCGGGCACCCAGGGCAGGTCTTTGGCAGCTCAGCCCCTGCTCTGAACAGGTCCCTCACTGGGTATGAGGGGGGCACGGAGGCCAGGGGGGCAGTTATGGACCCCAAGTGTGAGGATGAAGCCCCGGCCTGCGCGGCCAGGAGGGCGCCAGGCCCTCTGCGAACTGTTCCCTCTTCCTATAACACTGCACGCAAGGGGGCCGGTCACAGACGAACCACGTCACCCCTGCTCCCTTCCTGTTGCGTGGGGCGTCAACGAGGACCCTGTGCTGCTCCTGAGGACAAGTGGGGCTCCTCGCTACTCCCCGGCGCTGCTCTCCGAGGCGGGGCCCCGGGCCAAGCCCCCTCCCACCAGGCTGAGCGCAGGCCCCGGCCGCTGGGCCGCTTACCTGAGCTGTCGCTGGCACTCTCAGGCCTGTGCTCAGAGGGCTGAGGGCCTGGCTGCTGGGCAGTGCCACCCTGCAGGAGCGGCTCCTTTCTGGAAAGACATGAGCACGATGCGGCAGAGAAGAGTGACCTAGAGGGCCAGCTGCCTGTGTGGACGGCACCCAGGCCAGACGCCGGACAGGCCGAGGGGAGGCTGGGATTTCACACCAGAGGCAGCGTAAATATTGAAAGAAAAACACAGTATGGCCAGTGTCTGCTGGGCAAAGAGGGGGTCTGCTCCGAGGACCCCGAGGCTCTGCTCTGCCACTGCAGGACACGGGGACACCAGGCGGAGGCGGGCTGAGTCCTCTGCCCCGTGCCACGTGGGCTCCGGCATCCCTCAGGCCTGGGGAGAGCCGGGCAGGGCAACCTTCAGGGGGCCGACCCCTGGGCCTCTGGGCTGGAGAAGGAATAGGCGCGATGGGAACCAGCCCCCTAACTGCGCACGTGAATGAGCTTCGTGCTAAGCCTGTGCTGCTTGGAATTTGCTACGCGTGACTGGGCACACCTGTGGGTGCGTCAGTGGGTCAAGGTGCTGAGGGTCCTCGCAGCAGCGACTTGATTTGAATAGTTGGAGGGGGAAATGATGATATTAAATGTTGGTAAATTTATAAACATAAGTTCTGATATTAAAATAAAAGCAGAGCAGTAGCAGGTGAAATCTACAGCCCTCTCTTTGCAGACCAGGTGGCTCATGTGGATGTTTGAGAAACACAGCTGGTGGGATGGACACTGGGCCATTCTCAGGAGGGCAGCGCCTCGGCTGCCATCTAGAGAGACCCCCCTGGGGCGAGGCTGCCGTGGGCAGGGGAGGCTGTGGGCTGACGCTGTCATGAGGGGACAGGGCTGAGCCGGACTATTGTGCCCCCTACAGGAGCGGGCTTTGCCCTGAGGCCCAGGACCCCCCACCAACACCCCAAACAGTAAGCTCAGGTTGACCAGGTGCCACGGAGGCCACCCAGCCACCCGAGCCCAGCACTCACAGGCGGCAGCTGGGCTGCCCGGCGTCCAGGCGGCTGATGAGAGGCGCCGGCTCCCGGTCGTCCTGCATCTGGAGGCGGATGGGCCGCCTCAGCCCCCAGGCGATGTTGAGGAGCCCCTCGATGACCAGAGCTCCTTCCTCCTGTGGGGCCTGCACAGTCAGCCTCTGCCCCGGCCCGGGCCTCGGAGTCACTGCCCGCCTCCCGCAGTCCCCCAGGACCCAGCCCTTCGGACATGGGACTCCCCGGACACTCAAACCACCCAACACGCACCCTCCTCCTGGGGGACCTCCCTGGGGAAACCTAGGTGCAAGGCCAGGCCAGCCAGATGAGCCTGCTTGGCCCACACCCGGCTGGGGCACGGTGGGGGGCGTGGCTGGAACTGTGTCCCACGGGAACCCAGCCGCTGTCCACACAGCAGCCAGGAAACTCGGTCTGGGAGCCGCGGCCGCACCAACATCAGCGCAGTACAGGGCGCCCTCCACCCGCACCGTGCCGGGTCGCAGCCCCATCACCACTGGAAAGTATTACTGGGAAGTAGTGAAACCAGGACCCTGGGCACTGCCTTGGTCCCAGGCCAGGGTGGGCACTGTCACCTTGGCGCAGGCTTAGGCAGCAGGCCTCCAGGGCGGGGCCTCCCTGGGGGGGGGGGGGGGCGGGAAGGGCAGGCTCCGGCTCCGCCACTCTGGCTCTAGGCTGGAGTATCTGGGGCTCAGGGGCTGGTGTAACCCACAGTGGGTGGGTTACACCCACCCACTAGGTGGTGGTAGCAGCCCTAGGGCAGCCTCTCCCGGCCTGGGTTGAGGTGACCAGCAGCGGTGCCCGTCCAGCCCCTGCCCTGCAGAGTAAACACTTCCAGCGCCTCCCACGGCACAAACACTTGCTCCTGGTGGGCGCTGGGCCAGGCCCGCCCCCGAGCTGTTTTCCTGAGAGCCTCCCTGACGGCTATTTTGGGCCTCGTGACAGTAGCTGACTAGTGGGAAGGTATAAAAGCCGCGGTGGGGCCTCTGGGTTTGCCAGACAGTCAGAGAGGGTTCTGCTCTGGACAGTGGCACATCGGACAGAGGGTGGCACACTGTCCTTACCCTCATCCCGACCGTCTGTCACCGGACACAGGGCTCCGACCGCTGGGCCCGCATCCGCTGCCCCCAACTTCGTGGGGCTTCCCGAGCCCGGCCTTGCTCCTCCGCATCCCTGCTACCCCCAGGGCCCCTCGGCCACAGGTAAGAGAGAGCCCCTGCCCCCTGGTTTGAGATAAAACAAATGGCTCTGTGTGTCTTCCCGGGTGGGTAGTCCTCAGCCGGGGACCTGCCCAGCCTCAGGGAGGGTGAGAGACTGGGGAGCAGCCAGTGGCAGTGACTGGCTGTAGAGGGCTCTACACCACAAAGGGTTTCACAGGAGCTGCCACTCATGTGATTCTCACACCACACGCCCCTGTGAAGCAGGTACCTACAACCCCGTTTTATGGATGAGTAAGTAGAGGCTTGGAGAGGTGACACTGCCAAAGGTCCCCGAGTCAGGAAGGGGCAGAGTCTGGTTGTAAACCTAGTTCCCTCCGCCTGCAGTCTGAGGCTGGGTTCTCTTATTCGCATGGGCTTTAACATTAGCAGAGAGGAGGGGCTCTGCAAACTCACACAGGCAGCCTCAGCTGGGGCGGGGCGGGCGGGGCAGGGGGCAGGCGGGGCATGGCAGACCCTCACCCCAGTTCTCTGTCACCCCACAGGTGGCTGCTTCCCAGCCGTCGGCAGCCATGAGGTCCCGGCTTCTGCTTTCTGTGGCCCGTCTGCCCACAATCCGGGAGAGCTGGGAGGAGGTGCTGCCTGGGCAGGACCCTGTGGCTTCCCCGAGCCTGGATGACTACCGGAGGTCCATTTGTCAGCTGGCGCAGCCCACCTCAGCGCTGACCGAGGCTGCAGCCAGGGCCCGGCCCAGCAGACGCCCCTGGCAAGCCCGGGCCGGCGAGCAGAGCGGCCCCCCCGGGTCCCTCCAGGACTTCACCACTCACTTCAGCGGTCAGCAGCCCCCGAACACTGCTGGCCCCCGGGGCTGGCTCTCCGGGCAGTCCCAGGAAAAGCAGCCACGATGCAGGGGCCTGCCAAGGAGGACGGCTCCCTCTGCGGACCCCTGGGGTCCTCACAGAGAGATGGAGAGCAGCAAGGCCGGGGGGTGCCCCAGAGGGGAGCTCTATGATACCAGGGCACCGGGGCGCTGTCCGGTGGGACCGTTAAGGGACTGGCACCAGGGCTCCCGCGCTTCCTGGCAACCCATCCAGGCCGCAGCCTCCCCGCCAAGCTCGCGCCCCAGCAGCATTCTCAGAACTCTCTATTTGCACCTCCCGGTGATCCATGAACTCTGACCCCTCCCCAGTAAAGGCTTCTGTACAGAGCAAGCTGGCCGCGTCACCTCTCCACTTTGCCCGCCCCGAGGTGGGCACTGCCCCTGGCAGGCCTCAGAGGGAATGAGGTTCTGAGGGGCTGCCTGCTCTGGGGCCCTACCCCGAACAGTGACAGCCTCCCTCCCGGGAAGTTGTGCTGCGGGCCCCACGCTCATTGCGCCCTCCTTGCTGACCACTTGGGCCCGTTACTGGATAGTTTCTCGGTTTCCTCATGGCAGAAGGGGGCCATGGGACCTGCCTCCTGGCTGCTCCGATGAGCAAATGAGATAAAAGTCACACATGTCATGGGGCACATGTTGGAGTCCATACCCGTTAGCTGCTGCCTGTGTGGGAAACAGGTTGGGGGGCGAGGAGAAGCGAGATCTCACTCCCCCCCGTGGTTTCCGAGCGAGGCCCTGGGTGCTCCCAAGTCAGTCGCTTGGCCCCAGCTTCAGAGCCCAGGTTCCATGAGCCCCAAGGGAAAACGTGTCTCAGCAAGTAGCCCCACTGTTTCAGGGGCGCTGTCAGGGCGGCATCGGGGTACCTCAGTGGCTCCAGCTCACAAGTCCTGTTGAATTATCAGGAGAGTTTTCCCCAGACTGAGGGCCAGGACAGAACCTGCACTAAGCCTGTGGATGCCAAGTGACTGCACCAGCTGATCCTGCCCCCACCCATCCCTACCCCTGCCTGCCTCCACCCAGGGACCTCAACTGTGGGGGGAGAAGTGCAGGGTGTTGTCTGGCTACTCTGTTCTCAGACAAGTCCAGGGGGCAGGGCTCACTCCTCATATCCTCAGGCCCAGGTCAGCCTGGCCATTCCTGGGGCCCCAGAGACAGGCAAAACCCCGTTTCCTCGAGGCATCAGGCAAGCAAGGACTAGGGGAGAGGAAGGATTTCCCTCTCAGAGAGGCAGGTGAGGCATCAGAGAACCAAAAGGATCAGGCCCGAGAACCGGCCACCTGCTCCCTGGGCTGGCAGCACTGGCTGGCCGGGCAGGGGCGGGGGCAGAGAGGAGAGAAGGACGGAGCGGGGCTGCAGCCGAGCCCTCAGCCTGCTTCACCTCCCCCACCTCCTCGCTCCTCCCCCACCTCCTCGCTTTGTGGACCATCACACGTTCTTTTCTTTCTTTCTTTAAAAACAATTTGTTGTTGTTGTTAATCCTCACCCGAGGATATTTTCCCATTGATTTTTAGGGAGCGTGGAAGAGAGAGGGAAGACAGAGAGAAGCATCGATGTGTGAGAAACACATTGATTGGTTGCCTCCTGCAGGAGCCCTGACCAGGGCCCAGGCCTGGGAGGAGCCTGCAATGAGGCCTGAGAGTGGCCTCGAACCCGGGACCCTTTGGGCCACAGGGCGAGGCTCTATCCACTGAGCTAAGCCAGCTGGGGCTCTTCCCTTTTTTAAAGCTCCTTTTAAATTGGTTTGGACTTTAAAATTTTTTTGTCTTCTTTCATGCGTTCTGTGGGGTGGCAGAATGTAAACCATACATTCAAAAGGGAAAGCTTCAGACCAGCAGTTTCTCAGGTTCCCCATCTTTTCAGCGGGGACACCAACGCCTGCCCTCACACCTGAGAGGAGGCGGGACTGGACAGCCGCTTGGAGATGGAGGCACAAGCACCGCATACACATGTCTGCATCGGTCACACCGTGCGGCTCCAGCTGGCGGGTCCTGACTGTCCGGCCAGAGCGGCCGTGGGAGGGGCGCGAGGGCTGCCCGCCCAGGGGGTGCCCAGGGTGCGCCCGGGCTTAGCCTCGCTCAGCCCCTTCGGGAAGCGGCAGGAACGCGGGTCAGAGGATGACCTGGCCAGTGCCCCCGGCTCAGGAGCCATGCTGCTATGTGGGGGGTCAGGCAGCGGTGAGGGGACCCAGGGCTCTGGTCTCCTCTGCGAACACCTCTCAATGTGAAAGAAATTAATGGCACTTTCAAAGGTGCCAAAATAACAGCTGGAGGGAAGGGCTTGGCAGGCAGTGTCCACCCTCCTGCTCAGACAGCCTCGGGGGAGGGAAGGACCTGGAGGGGGAGGGCCGGTAGAGCCTCACTCTCTTCCCACCCACGGTGTCCCACCCAGGGCGGCGGCAGGAGGGAACTCTTAAGGGCGCTCACCTGCCCGGGGCCAGGGGTCTGTCAGAAGCCCCTCCGGGCCTTTCTCAGGCCCAGCAGGCGGCTGGGGGTGGAGGGGGGGGACTGGGCTCACTGCCTGGTCCGGCCACCAGGGGGAGCCTTGAGCCCACGAGAGCTGAGCACAAGGTTGGGTGGGGGGCCAGCTCTTGGAGGGGCCACACAGGCACCCACCGGGACATGGGGTCCCGCTGCCTCCGGCTCACACACTAATTAGTGAAGACTTTCCCCACGGGTGGTGCCCGTTTTCCTCTGGAGACGCCCGCGAATGCTCTGCTGCCTTTAAAGGCAGATTGCTCCCAGCTGCTCCCTCTCTTCACTGTCGCACAAGCACAGTGACCCCGAAGGCCAGGCTCCCCACACAGGATGCTAGTGCGTTGGCCTTCTCAGTGGGCGTCCCGCACACCCAGCTCTCCAAACACGTGCCCCAGCCATGGCCCCCAGCCCCTGACTACTGACACCTTCCTCTCTCCATGTTCTATGCACCTGGTGGGCCGGTAGAGGAGAAGGTGCCCCCAACAGTAGCGCTGGGGCCGCCAGGGCGCCAGGAGAGGCCAGGTGACAAAAGGCAGGGGTCTCTTCAGGGCCCCCATGGCCCCGGGAGGCGCACCTGGTGCTGAGCCCTCGGAGGCCGGAGGGCAGCTCAGGTGGGTGTCCCTGCTCAATGCTGGCGAAGGTGTTGCTGTATTGACTAACACCTGTGCTCAGGCCTCGAAGCCACACCAGCACTTGCGCTCTGCAGGTAGCCTGCCTTGGAGGCTTACGCGTGGGAGCCTCCATCCCTTTGTCTGGAAAATGGTGTCTCCTTTGTTGCAAAGCTCTGTGTTATGGAAAATAAACAGAGGCAAAGTGCCTGGCACCTGGCTGCCCGACCTCAGGGCCTACAGTGCCCACGGGGAGGCTGGCCTGAACCACAATAACCTGAGCATCCCAAACTGCAGAGGCCCGGCCGCTGGGTGGTGGGGGGACGTGGCGTCCCGGGAACCAGCCACACGTTCCAGTGTTGGAACCCCAGGCCTCCCACGCCTGCAGCCTCACATTTGGTGGCTGTCACCTCCCACGGAGGCGCACTCCCTCGGGCTGGCACCCCTTGGTTTAGGCTGCAGAAGGTTCCTGAAAAGTACGCTCTGGCTCCAGGGAGATCAAGCCAGACCCTCACACGAGTTTTAGGGCTGGAACATGAAAACCCCCACTGCGGGATGTAAACTTCCCACCGCCGCCGGGGCTGCCGCCACTGCGAGTCCCCCATGTCTCCACGTGAACGTGGTTACACATAAGCACGGGGCACGGGTTCCCAGCCCCCCAGCTCCCCAGCCCTGCTCCCCACACAGCTGTTCCTACGGCGGGGTTTGTCCTGGGGAATCCCACGTGCCAACACCAAGCGCTCAGACCAGCGGTCTCAGAATGGCCGTCCTCAGGACCCCCGGGGGCCCTGTCCACACACGGGGGATGCAGGGCTTCTCCCACAGCGGGCCTGGGGGAGGACGGAGGTAAGAACTGCAGTTCTAACAAGTTCCCAGGTGAGGCTGCAGGTGTGGGAACCCCGGGACCTTAGCTTAATCCCTGAGTGGCCCAGAGCTGAGGACCAGGGCTCAGCCAGAGACCGCGCTCCGGCCGCCAGCACCAGAACCGAAGAGGCCCGCTCCTCACTTACAGCGCAGGTTCACGCTGCCCAGCACACGGGCTCAGCCCCACTCACCCCGGCCTGTGGCTATGCATCCAACCCCTGTGCCCAGGACCACACTGCCTGGCCCGGGGGCTGCAGAGCCAGGCAGGCATCGGGGCGCCCACTAGAGCAGCGGTTCTCAACCTGTGGGTCACGACCCTTTGGGGACTGAACAACCCTTTCAGAGGGGTCGCCTAAGACCATCGGAAAACACATATATAATTACATATTGTTTTGTGATTAATCACTATGCTTTAATTATGTTCAATTTGTAACAATGAAAATACATCCTGCATATCAGATATTTACATGACGATTCATAACAGTAGCAACATTACAGTTATGAAGTAGCAAGGAAAATAATTTTATGGTTGGGGGTCACCACAACATGAGGAACTGTATTAAAGGGTCGCAGCGTTAGGAAGGTTGAGAACCACTGCACTAGAGTAAGGACAAGACAGTGAAGCCAGACTTCGGAGGCCGTGGGATCAGAGCCCCGCGCAGTAAGGAGCTGGGGCAGGTGGCTGGTGGGACAGGTGCTAGAGGCCACTCTGCAGAGGGAGAGCGTGAGGGAAAGAGCCCTCGGCAGAGCCCGGTGGGGAACAAGGTGTCAGGGGTGGCCCAGGCCCCGAGTGTGTGGCATCATCGGCCATCACAGGCAGCCCGGCACTGCCTGACCGGTATCCAGGTGGCCCAGCAATTCGGTCTGGCAGGTGGGTTTTAGTTGGCCCTCCTTTGTGGCCCTGACAGAGGACCCCCAATGGCCCACAGCTGCCCAGACACTGGGCTCACCCTCTGGTCTGGGACCTGCAGGAGGATGCGTGGCTGTTTGAACAGCTAAAGGGAATGAAGATGGACGAGCAGTGGCCGCCCCCTGGGGAAGGGGTCTGTAGGGGGATGGGGTGTGAACTGCCCATCCTGTGCTCAGCAACAGGAGGGGACTCGAGGCTGCTGGCTCTTACAGACACTGACAGGCCAGGAGTCCAGGAGTCACCCGGTCTCAACCGTGGAAACCCCCAATAAAACCTAATACAGTAAGCCTCCCCAGTGGCTTTACAAGGGAATTGAGTGAGACCGAGGTGGGGCCAGCGCCCCAGCCTGGGTCCCAGGTGAACAGGCTGAGGGTTCAGAGGGCGGGAGGGCCAGGCCTCTGCCTGATCTGCTCAGTGAATGCCCCCAAGCCTGGGCCCTGCTGGCCATTCCCCGGAGTCCGCTGGTGCCACAGCCTCTGTATGGCCTACAGACACACTCTGCTGAACTCACAAACAGGGGGGTTTCGAGGTTTGGGAAATTCCACATGGAATCCCAGTGTCTAGCTTCCGTTGAAATACCAGGAAGGGTCTGAGCGGGCCAGTCCCCCCTCCTGCACAGCCCATGGGCCTGACGGGTGGGCAGCAGCGGCTGCAGGTGGGACGGGTGCTCTCTGCCCTGCACGCCCTCCGCCAGCCCTGCCTTTCACTTTCCGACCTGCCGGGCCCAGGGAGCACCTTTCCCTTTAAGCCCTTCCCTCTGCTGATTCTGACTGACAATCTCCTTTCACGTCTCGATTGCCCTGTGCCAGAGCCCTGTGCTGAGCCCAGTTGTGCTGTGGGATGGCTGGTCTCAAAGATTTCAAACTCCAATGTCCTGGCAATTCACCAGAACAAGAGTCCCAGCTGGAAGGAGAAGGCCCACAGGAGGACTCCCGCCGGCTCTGAATTCTCACGGGGACAGTCTGACCTCTGCACCCCTGACAGGGGCCTCAAGGAGAGATCCTGGCTGCTGTCACCTGGTGCCCCACTCAGAGGATGGGTGACCTTATAATTCAGTGGTTCTCAACCTTCTTAGTTTCAAAATCTAAGTCATTATAAGATTTAGAGCAGTGGGTCTCAACCTTTTGGCCCTTTAAATACAGTTCCTCATGTTGTGACCCAACCATAAAATTATTTTCCTTGCTACTTCATAACTGTAATGTTGCTACTGTTATGAATCATAATGTAAATATCTGATATGCAGGATGGTCTTAGGCGACCCCTGTGAAAGGGTCGTTCGACCGCCAAAGGGGTCGTGACCCACAGGTTGAGAACCGCTGTTATAATCCTTTATCCAAGTGGGGACACTTCCGCGCGTGAGGGACACGGGCTTAATCATTACCCTGGAAAAAAGGTGTAAACTGGGGCTGTCTTCTGCAAATGGCGGATAAATGGTGACTGCATAAAGAAGAGAACCAGGCCTTACCTCTCGGTGTCTCAGCTGAAAGCTCTTGCCCTCATGGTAGCAGTTGTAGGTTTTCAGCAGGTTTAAGAGCTCCGACCTGAGAAGGGAAGGACACGTGCATCCTGAGTGGGCAGACCTCAGACAAGGTGTTTGTCCTCCTGGGCCTCAGTTTCCTCATCTGTAGAATGGGCATAACAGCACACACCTTTCTGGCCACGTATAATTGGTTAAGAGGCCAGACTGCTATTGGACACGCGCCCTTCAGTCTTCTTGAGGGTTTCACATACCAGCCCTCATGGCAGGCGTAGGGGTGGGACTTAGAGGGAAGTGAAAACTCACAGATGGACCCCATCACTGTATAGTGAGGGTGTTTGCACACGTTCACTATTGTGGGCAAAAGTTCCTGACGGCCTCCCGATACTTTACTTCTGAGTCACTTCCTCAAGTAAATCCCTGGGGCTCAGACTATTGACATTTTGAAGACTCCAGCTTCCCCCCGACATTACTTCCTACCAGGGCCCGGCATGGCTGCTGTGTAGGCACCAGGAGGGCGACCTGCCTCTTTCCCATCCTGACCTCCTGGAGGCATGACCGAGGGATGAAGGTGACAGCAGGTGAGTAAGACCCCGAAGGCCCAGGGAGGCCACTGGGCCCAAATGTTTTCTCCCCAGAATAAAAGGGAAACCACACTGTGCTGGGCTGGCGTGGCAGAGAGAAGACAATGACAGCTGCCTGTGCCCGAGCTGGGCTCTGCAGGGCAGCACCATCCAACGGATACAACATGCGAGTCACATTTAGGCGAGTCAAATCTGCAGTAGCCACAATACAAGAGAAAAATGAAACAGGTGAAATTAGTTGTAAACATACTGTGGACCAGTAGTTTTATTGCTAACTTTAGCCAGTGGCCAGATAAGTTTCTATGGAATGAGTACAAAAAACATTTTACATAAATGTTAAAGGCACACTTTAAAACTAAATACTCATTGCATTTTGAAGTTATTTATTACATGTTCTTACAAGCTATTATTTTTTAAAAATGTGATATTTTGCAAAACACTGTGAATAACAGGAAACACGAGAATTCTCATGATCTGTCCGCAATGTGTTAATAACACCCTTTATTGAACCCAGTATATCTAAAATGTTATCATGTCAGCATGTAACCTATATAAAAATATTAATGAGACCTTGCTCATTATTTTATTTTGTAAGAAGTGTTTGCCACCTGGAGCATCTTTTACATTAACTTTGCCCCTCCAGCCACAGGGTCGTGCTGGGCGGCCACAGGGCCGTGACGGGCGGCCACAGGGCCGTGCTGGGCGTCCATACGGCTGTGCTGGGCGGCCACAGGGCTGTGCTGGGCGGCCATACTTGCTGGTGGCTCCCTCCTGGGCTGGCTGCCCTATATCTCCTTCAGGCAGCGCCAGCAGTGGCACTGCAACAACCCAGCTGTGGGTGAGCAGCACCCACTCTGCAGCGTGGGGATGGCGGTAACTGACAGGGGAAGTGATTTACAGCTTCATGGCATCAACGAAGCAGCATTCAATGTTGCATGTTCACTGGGCTTATAAGTGTGTAAACGCTAAACACAAAATTATTAGGATAGACACCCTCCCACACACATATATGAAATTAATCATGTTATGGCGATTATGACTTTTCCCAAAATGACATCTAATATTGTTCTTATTATAAAATGTAAATAAGGAAATGACGGTATGGGTAGCACTGGGAGTGATACAAGGGAATGCCGTCTGTTCTCAGGGTCTGTAGCAGGAGGACCCAGGGCGCCGTCTCTACAAAAGCTAGCCCACCCCATGCGACTGGCTTGTCTTTGGATGGCAGGTAGGAGCTGCCAAAAGTAGACAATGTTTAGACTCAGAACTCAAAGAGCAAGATAAAATCACAACTATACTTTTCTTTAGTTCAGAAATAAATTTTAAAAAGTATCCTAAACATTTAAGAAGTATCCTAAAATAAAAATAAGCAAAGCTAAAAATCATCTATGATGTATATATATATAAAAGGCTAATATAGAAAGTGACCCCTTGGGAGTTCAACTGGGAGACCGGGAGTTCGATCACTCGCTATGATGTGCACTGGTCACCAGGAGGCAGCATGGAATGAAGGAAGGACCCCCTGCCAGGAGCCGGAAGGCCCCAATTGGTCCTGATCACTGGCCAGGCCTAGGGACCCTACCTATGCACAAATTTCATGCACCAGGCCTCTAGTTATGTCAATAAAATACACTTTTTTCAGTAAAAACTCAAAACCAATTTTGAGGGTTTTTTCCTTAACTGTTTAGCACAGCTGTGGGCAAACTATAGCCCGCGGGCCGGATCCGGCCTGTTTGAAATGAATAAAACTAAAAAAAAAAAATCACATCATTATGTAATGATGTGATTATGTAAAAAAAAAAAATTACATCATTATGTAATGATGTTTACTTTGAATTTATATTAGTTCACACAAACACTCCATCCATTCTTTTGTTCCGGCCCTCCGGTCCAGTTTAAGAACCCATTGTGGCCCTCGAGTCAAAAGTTTGCCCACCCCTGGTTTAGCACAACAATAAGAGTGTTAGTATGGCTCTAGTTATTTTTGTTTGTTTGTTTTTCAGCATTGCTCTAGCTTTTATTTTACTTTTTAATATATTTTATTGATTTTTTACAGAGAGGAAGGGAGAGGCATAGAGAGTTAGAATCATCGATGAGAGAGAAACACCGATCAGCTGCCTCCTGCACACCCTCTACTGGGGATGTGCCCGCAACCAAGGTACATGCCCTTGACTAGAATTGAACCTGGGACCCTTTAGTCCGCAGGCCGACGCTCTATCCACTGAGCCAAACTGGTCAGGGCTGCTCTAGCTTTTAAATAAATACCATTTCTGCAGAGTCACAGTGGGCACTCTGGGGCTTTCCTGCTTTTGTGGGCCAGAGGGGACAGACGTCAAACCCACAACCTGAAGAGATCCTCCATCTCCAAAGACAACCAAGACCATGACAGGCCCCCATCACTGTCCCTGGGGCAGGCACACCTCCTATCTAGGAACCCTTCCACCCAAAGGCTTCCCATGGAGGAGACCACAGGCACGCACCCCTCCCCGCACACACAGGCTTACTTCAGAATGGATTTGCTGTCGCTGATGGGCACGTGAGAACTGGGTGCGCAATCTTCCTTCATCTTCTCCTCCTGCCTGCAGACCCGGAAGCTACCTGCCAACAAGACCAGGAAAGGGCACACACACAGGTGAGCAGGAAGAGCTGGCCAGTGTAGCACCCAGAGCTGGTTGCCTGGCCTCACCTCCCACCTCCATCCTCCCAATCCTGCATCCCCAGTCCCCTCCTTCCTCCCACTTCCTGGCACAGGACGGCCAGCAGAAGGTCAGGCCCAGAGGACTTAAGGGGGTTCCACACCTACACGTGTCAGCCAAGCGCCCCCTAGTGGGCCAAGCTCAGAACTGCCTAGTCAGCAGTTGCCAGCTCTATCAGCCCCCTCCCGGAACCTCTCCACAATCCCTAGGAGTCACGATCAACCTCCTAAATGTTTCAGGACAGGTGCTTCCTTCCCTCCCTGGGACACCCTGAATAATGTTTCCGTCCCGATTACTCCTCCAAACTTCCGAAGTGGCCTGGGCCTGTCTCTCCGTTCCCGCTGAGCCCAGGGCGGGACTGGGCTGCCCCTGGAGTCCGCGCCCCGGCTAGCTCACCGAGGGATGGGCTGACAGGTACCATGCTCACTACTTGCCACAGACTGCGGTGAGCATTTTCTATGAATTGCAGCTGTTTTGTCACCACGTTGCTGAGATGCTGCAGGAACTTAACTCCCGCATATCATTCAGCCTATTGTAAAACCGGTTTCTTTAGATGTCATTTCACTTAAAGTCACAGAACCTATTGCCAGCCTTGTGAGGGCTTACTGTAATTCATTTACTCCTCACAACATTATGAGGTAAATGTTCCCATTTTGTGGGTGAGAAAACGGGTCAGAAGGCAAGCACTTTGCCCAAGATTCCCAGCGAAGAAACAGCAAGGCCACTGTGAACACCGCACTTAGGGCCCAGATTCTGTCCTTTAGCCCTTCCTGCGTTGATCTTGAACAGTGTGACTCACACCCCAGAGGAAAGAGTGAAGAAGGGACTATATAAGCTGCTGAAACGGTTCACATTAGGCAGCTGAGGCACAGGAAAGACTCCATCCCCTTTCTACCTCGCCTGGGAACTGAAACTTCTTGAACTTTCCAGTCTTGCATCAGTGCCTGGATATACATCTGGGCCTCAGGGTGAGCCTCTAATTACCCCCTGAGGACTCGGATCCACCCACCTGAGAGCTGTTATCCAGACCCCTGGACGTGACCAGACCTCCCTGCACCCTGTTTCCAATCACCTGACATACCTCCGACCAGGTGACCCTCCTGGAGCGATCCCGGGGCAAGAATGCAGGGCTGATAATGGCCAAGAATGCACTTTTTCTACAAGAACTTTTCACTTTTCACTTTTCTTCCTTCTTTGAAACACTCCTGGGTTTTGCCTTGCTGTGTTTCCAGTTTGCAAACTCCAAGACCCTGGAATGAATCTATCCTTTTGTCTAGCACAGCCTCCAGACTCTGGGAGTGTGTCTGGCACCTCTGACCATCCTTTCTCGTCTATACAGTGGGGTAACCCGCCCTCCAGGGGATAGTGGGTTCACACAGGAAACTACCTATCTCTCTCCCTACTCAGCCCGGAGGGGTCTGTGGAGCTTCTCGAAGTCCTGGCCTCTGTGGGAGGGTCACCCCACTGGGGCGTTCTCTGTTGAACTGGCATCTCCCACATGGTTCCTACTTCAACTCTCTCCACACCACCCTGGGGCAGACTCTCCTATCAAGGGCCTCTGTGTGTTAAGCAGTGAGCCACACCTCAAAATACACTCCCACCCTTGACCCTGCCTCCTCCTCCCTTTTCTCACGTTGCAGCCAGGAGTCCAAGGGGTTAAGTTATCTTGGGAGGTGGCACAGACACCTCTGCTGTTCAGTTAATCCTGGGAGTGGAGTGCTCTGTCCCTTGGGCACGACTGACCTTTCGCACACTCCCTCCCTGCTCGCTGGACACCATCACAGCTGGCGGGGCCTCTGTGTTGGCAGGAGCGCTTGATTTGGGGGGCAGGGAAACATGGTAGGTATGGAGAAAGGGAAATATTTGAAGGAGGGAGGTGGGCCTCCCAGCGACCCCAGAATCGTCCTATAAATACCTCCTCTGCCTGTGCAGGGAGGCAAGTCTCCGCTGGGAGAGGTCCGGCTCCCGAGGGCAGCCCCGCTGTAACCAGCACAGGCCCTACCCCTGGGCACCGGGTGAGGGACCTCCTGCTGCGCTCTAGGCCCATTTCAAAAGAGGGTTTCAGTTCCTCAGCCCCTCAGCTCTCCCGCGGAAAAAGTGACCGCCAGGCTCCGCCTCAGGGTCCTTCCTCAAATCCTGCCCACACAGAAGCTGGCGCAGCTGAGCGGGCCAGGCTGGTGGCTGGCTCTCCCTCACACTGTCCTGTGGCTCCCGGCACAGGGACGCCTTGCAGCCACATGACCGGAAGGGCGGTGTTCACCCAGAGCTAACAGGGCGGCTCTTCTCCCGCCTTCCTCTTTCCCCGCTCTCCCACTCTCCCGCTCCCTGCTGAGCTCCAGCCTCCGGAGCTGCCCACAGCCCCCTGAAGGGCTCAGTGCCCTTCCTCCATTTGGGCTTTTGTGGTGCCGTCCTCTACTCAGACCATGGCCTTCTCCCCATTCTGTACCCCGATGTTAGCTCCCCTGGGCCTGGGCCTGCTCCTACTCCAGGCTCCCGCTCTGCTCCCCTGCAGGAGCCCCCCTGCACCCCCCCCCCCCCCGCAAGAGGAGGAGTGCACTGCCTCAGGGACTCTGTGGTGCTGCCTCACCACCCCTTTCCCCACAGGGAACACAAGCCTGGCGCATTGCAGGAGGTTCCAGAGATGGTAAATGACCACAAGGAGCCACACGGGGACCCAAAGCCAACTGTCCCAGAGCCATGCATATGCAGCTGGAATGAAACCCATGGAAGGCCGAGTCAGGGAGGGGACTCAGCAGACACTGGTCCCTGGGCCCACAGGGAGCTGGGATGCTTTCCTTCTCTAGAGGGGTAGCTCTTCTGCTGTTTCATGGGACGCCAGAAAGCTGGATTTTTAAAAAAATCCTCACCTGGGTATCTATTTATTGATTTTGGAGAGAGAGAAAGGGATGGAAGGAGGGAGAGAAGGGGGGAGGGAGGGGGAGAGAGAGAGAGAGAGAGACTGATATGAGAGAAACATCAATCGCTTGCCTCCTGTACATGCCCTGAGCAGGGATGGAACCCACAACCCAGGTATGTGCCCTGACTGGGATTTAACGGCAACCTTTTGGTGTACGGGACGATGCTCCAGCCAACTGAGCCACCAGCCAGGCAGAGATCCGGACTTTTATTGGCTGCATCTCCATTTAAACACGGCGGCTGGGAAGACAGTGCCTGCCCTGCGGCCATGTGACGGCTCCTATTCTCAGCTGTGGGCCCAGGTGACTAACTCTGCAGACAGAAGTGTGTGTGTCCCTCCCAGGCCAGCTCATGTGACCACTGCAGCCTTGCAGCTCTCCTGTCCCAACTGTTCCCTGAAGGGCAGCCTGGCTCCGTGAGGCCTCTGTGGACCAGAATCCTCTGCAGCCCACAGTGGACACGGGCCGGCAAAGAGAGCCCACCTCTGCTGTGAGAGCCCTGGAATGCCAAGGATCTGTGGGTGCCGTGTGACGCGGACCAGCCTGACTGGACCAGCCTGTGCAGTACCTATTCCCACGGGCGAGTGCACACCAAGGCAACAGTAAAACAGCCAACAAAACACGCTGCCAGACAGGCCCTTGGTGGGGCCCCAGCCTGTGACTTCTGATTCAGGGTACAATGCTTTCCTTCTCCCACAGCATGTGGGGAATACGCCCATTTTATGGGAATACTCTACGCAGTGGGTTTCTCTGTAAGGCAAGCAGCGATCAGCTATTAGCAGGTGTTTTCTACTGAGCGCCGGGCTGGGAGCTGCTAAAGACCCAGGTGCCTGCAGCTGCATGTCCTTTTCTCTGAGCCTTTATTTTCCCATCTGTACAATGGAAACACTGACCTTTGATGGGTAGAGATGATCTCAATGAAGAACTCTGTCTAAATGGAACCTATAGACCAAATCAGGTGAAGGGGCTGCTGTTACTGACAGCGAGGTGGGTGGGGGGAGCCCCGTCCAGGGGCATGCCCTGTGCAGGACTGCGGCTGGCCTGTCACTCAGGCACAGCCTAGAAACCACAGAGTGACAGATGCAGCTGGGAAGGCCACCCAGCTCTGGAGTCTAGTGTTCTTTGTCAGGTCTTCCCACACTGGCCTTCAGGGGTGTTTCGCCCCCGAGAGCCTAATTCAAAGGATGTGACTAAGGTGCTGAGGGTCTCGGGGTGGAGGCGGGAGCACCAGCGGGGGAGCTGCGAGGGGAGGGAGTCCGAGGGAGGGAGAAGGAGGGCCCTGGATTGCAGTGGAGAAGTGAAGGGGAAAGGGGCAAAGGGTACACCACTGAGCTTGGCGGGGCAGGATGAGGTGCCATCTCAGGTGAGGGCGGGAGGCGAGCAAGGCTGGGGAGGCAATGAAGGGCCAACATCAGCAAAGGGGGCTCTTCCAACGTGCCCGGCTGGGCCTCCAGCCCTCGGGGCGGGCACCGTGCCCCACGGAGAAGCGGCCTCTCCTCTGAGAGAGCACCCATTTCCGTGTCCCCTGGCGCTCACCAGCTGTGTGGCCCCAAGCAAATCACATGGTCTCTCTGGTTCCACCTGTCCCAACCCTCCACCCCCAGCAGGCTACATGCCTGCTCCAAGTTCCAGCCCTGAGCTCTGGGGCCGCTCCCAAGTTCCACTTCGAATCGGTGCACTGTGTCGCTCACCAGGCTGAAGGGTGGGAGCTTTTCATTCATTGTAATGATCCCAGTGTGCTGAGTGGTACGTATACCTCAGGGTGTCCCAGAGATCCCTGAATGCGAGCTTCTGGGAGAGAGAGCGAACACGCACCCCAGCAAGAAAGCGAATGGGATTTTCCTCCCTGTGGCCATGTTCTGGAAACTGCCCCTTGAACTCTCCCTCTCCTGGCACATTTGGCTGGCCCTAGAGCAGTGACTGCGAACCTTTTGAGCTCAGTGTGTCAGCATTTTGAAAAACCCTAACTTAACTCTGGTACGGTGTCACATATAGAAATTTTTTGATATTTGCAACCATAGTAAAACAAATATTTATATTTTTGATATTTATTTTATATATTTAAATGCCATTTAACAAAGAAAAATCAACCAAAAAAATGAGTTCGCGTGTCACCTCTGACACGCGTATCATAGGTTCGCCATCACTGCCCTAGAGAGTCTCTACAGAGTGTTTTTCAATCTTTTTTTTTTTTTTTTTTTTTTTTTAAATATATTTTATTGATTTTTTACAGAAAGGAAGGGAGAGAAATAGAGAGTTAGAAACATCGATGAGAGAGAATCATCGATCAGCTGCCTCCTGCACATCTCCTACTGGGGATATGCCCGCAACCCAGGTACATGCCCTTGACCGGAATCGAACCTGGGACCTCTCAGTCCGTAGGCTGACGCTCTATCCACTGAGCCAAACCGGTTTTGGCTCAATCTTGTATTAAAAAAGAAAAAAAAAGCACAATTGTATCTTTAAATAAAACCAAGGCAGAAGCCCAGTATACAGATGGATCAAGCATGTCAAACTCGCAGATGGTGGGCCGCATGCTTCCTCCGCCGGCCACCAGTTTGACATGCTTGAATGGATTAAAGTGCCTTGGTTGAAGCAGGACTGGGGCAGTGCGCTGGGGCTGGCCTGCCTCTCCCTCTGGCACAGCCTGGAAACTGCAGAGTGACAGATGCAGCTGGGAAGGCCAACCCCCAGCTCTGGAGCCCAGCCTTCTTGGTCCCAGTCTGCTCCCCTCCCCCAGCCCCAGGGCATGGAAGCCTCTGGGCTGGCTTCCCGGTTAGAGGCTCCCATCCTCAACCAAAGGCCCAGCTTCAGCCAGGGTTCCCTGCCCCCAGGAGGGGTGGGAGTGTGCCACTCGGTCACCTGCCCCTGGCACAGGCAGGGAATTGTTTCAGCTTTCCACTTCAGGGGCTGCTGGGCCCTGAGCAGGGGCTGCTGGCGGCAGCAGCACCACAGCCCGCCCTGCTATTGTCCCCGGCCTCTGGTTTGGGACAAAGGGCACTGAAGCCTTTCCAACTGCTAGGCTTGGCCCATCTTTCCTCTTTGGGGGCCGTGAGCTCTGTGGCTCTTCAGGTCCCACTACAGCCCAGTGGCAGAGGAGCAAAACAAGGCTAATGCAGGGGCAACATCATAAAGCCAAACGAATGCACTTGGAGGCCCTTTCCTCCAGGCTGCGAGCTGCCTGCTCCTCGGTCTTACAATGCCCCCTCTCGTAAAATAACCGCACAAAAGCTGGTCACTGCGGTCCTTACCTGGCAAAATGGAAAATGTGTCAGTATCCACATTAAACTGTCTCAAGGACATCTGGGCAGTCTGAAAGCTTGGTAGCCTCTGTTCTAACATTTAAAACATTACGATTCTTATCTTCTTATTTAGGCCCGATTAAAATCAAATGCGCAACAGAAGTGACAGGGAACGGGAAGGACAGAGCACGTGGGGCCGGGGCTGCTCTCACGAGGAGGGAAGGAGGCTCCGAGGGAGGGCAGGTGCGGGGACACTGCTGGGCATTCCCAGGAGCCGCGTCCAGGCCACAGCTTCCAGCTGCCAGGCAGGGCCAGCGGGAAGGCATGGAAAACAATGCCCTGAAAACGGGCCTCCCTGGCACCTGCTGGCCGGCAAGTGGCAGGAGCTAGGCCAGGAAGGTGCTGGCACCAGCTGCCTACAGAGGGCCTGGCTGGACGGAGGCTGCTCCTCAGCGACACACTTTGGCCGAGAAAGCCAGCTGTGGGGATGTGGACGGCAGGCAACAGCTCAGCAGCTGCAGATCCCACCCGCTTCCAAGCTGCTCTTCTCCCCACTCCCCCCGGTGCTACCCCTCCCCCTCCCTGTGGCTCAGCCACAGACCTCCCTGCCCCAGTGCTGATGGCTAGGAAGGCCTGGGAGGACACTGCCCAGCAGGAGAGGTGGCCGCAGAGCCACCAGCACCTCCATCCCCACCTTCCCCGGGCTGACCTTTACTATGCACCCTCCCCACTGTGCGGGTCGGGGTCCCACTGACAGGTCTCCCTGAGCCCATTCTGGCCTTGCTTCCAAGGCCCGGCAGGCTGGGCCACACAGCTGCCTACAGTCCCCCTGCTCTCCCTGCCGTCTGCACGCCCCCGGCCCCCGGGACCCTCCCCCAACTTGGGCTCTCCTCTCCTATGAAGGGGGACAGGGGAACAGGAATCCTCTCAGCTGTGCTTTTTGGGCCAAAGAGATGCTCAGAAGGACCACTGAGGCCTGGAGCAGGAGTGCGGCCTCTTTGCAGGCTCAGTGCCCCCTGTGCCAGGCTGTACTGGGTGCTCTCCACAGCTGCCTCCGCCCGTGCCACCCACTGTGCCAGGCCTGAGGGCCATTGCAGCTCCGGGCTGGCTCCCTGTGAGGCATGTTGTGCTTTAAAACTTCTGGGTCACGGAACCCTTTGGAGTCTGGAGAGTTTAACACGCGATCCCCAGGAAGATGTGTGTGTGCGCATGGGAGTGTGCGCACGCGCCTGTGCACACACTGAATTTGCACACCACTGCA